GTTTCAGTGATCTCTTTAGCTGACTTACAACTCACAGGAGTCTTGTTTGACCTAATTAACTAAAGCTCACAGAGAACTTGCAGATCCTTTATTTAGAAGTAGTATAAAAATAACAAATCTTATCAACACATACAGGGTAAGAGAGAAAGTTATCTACCTTACTGGTATATTTTTTCTGTCTCAGTGGAAGTCATACACTGATCTGGGCAACTACATGACAGCCACACACATGCATTTCACCATAACAAATGCAATTTTGCATCTTTATCCACCTCTGTACCTACAGAAGGCTCTGCAAGGTCTGTTCTTGCTTTTCTGCTCTCTCTTCCTTGTCCCTCTGGAGCAGTCACAAGAACAAGCTCAGCTTCCCATAGTGGTACCAATAATAACCTTATTTTTCTTTCTCTTCTACTCTACATTAAGTATAATATTGGGGAAGGGAATCAGTGGCATCTTTGGGCTTTAAGACTTTGTAATATTGAGAAAGGATGAGTAGAACCTTCTTTTATATTTCTTAGGCTTCCCACAAAACAAAATAGGTATCTTGTCCAAATTAATCTAAATAACAATATGGATTATTTGAGCCAGGCAAAACAATAACACAAGATAGAAGGGTCCACACGCTCAGTGACAACATATGCACGATGTGTATGTATGCGTATACCTACACTCACACAGATCTGGTCAGCTAGGGTTATCAGGAACTCCATCCACAGTATAAGCAAATCAGTATTTACAGTGTTTACATAGTAGAGATTTTAAACAGTCCGTTCCTGTGAACTCCCTCCCAAAGATTCTGTACAATGGCAGTGAAAAATAGGAAAACCCAAACCAAGTAGGTTAAATAGAACGGTGACCTTTTTTGACAGAAAATATTTACTAAATCTTACTGTTTCTGTGCTCATCTTAGAAGCCTGGATACAGGCAGACCAGAAAGGAGGAACTGCTTTTTGATTTCCCAGTGTCATGACCCTGTATCTATCTGCACACAGGCTACGTATTCAAATAGTGCTCTTTTGTATCCCGGAACCATAAAAGTCATATCATCTTCACTCCTTTAAAAATACTAAATATTTAAATTTATTACTGATTACTCACTAACAAATAAGTGATTTTTACATAGAATTTTTAACAAGGTTATCATTACTACTACAAAAATTACCCAACATATATATCAAAAACCCCGAATAAATTTTCTGATAGCTTCCATACCAGTATTATCTGTACCCCTTTCCAATTTGAGAGACCTCTTGCATCTTCAAAATTCTTATTATTTTGTTAGCATTGAAGAGTTATAATATCAGAATCTAACTAGTCAGAGCATAATATGATATTGCAGTAAAGCAAAGCAAACACCATACCTCTTTTTATTTCAAATTCATTTTAGGCACAGCCTAAAGAACTCATTGCACTCAAGTACCTTTTTCTCCACAGTCTCAGCTTCTAGTTCTACTAAAACTATCACTTGGCTTTCACCTTGATAGCAAGAATTACAAGAATATCACAGCCCTGTGTTACTGCAGTGAACTCAGGCTAATCCTTCCCATATATATTTCACAGACCTACAAAGTAAAGTTATAACTCGAACCTATTTGAGCTTCCCCACGCACAGTTTCTTCCTAGTAATGGCATGGACTCTCTGTGGTCAGAAGGAACTGAGGAAGATTGCCGATATTTTCCACAAACTAATTTTCTACAACTGTCTCAAAGTTATGCTTCACTTCGCCCTTCCATTTCTCACTGTTCTCCTCCTCCCTCCATTTTTTTTTCTTTTAATCTGAGTTGGTTTATCTTGGAACAACATAGCATCCCTCTTCAGGCAGCATTTTAATTGCCCCAGGCTTCCTGGTATTACATTCTAGCTCCTACTGTTCAACTGAAAGGCAAATACAAACCTTACAGTGTTATCTCAATGATATTACTACAGCAATCTGTTGTGTGTTTTTGGGGGTTGGGGTTTTTTTGTTTGTTTTTTTTAATTGAAATAAACTTGGTCTTTCAAACCATAATCCAAGAAAGAAGTTTGCCAAAAAGCACGAGATGAAACTTCAGCTTCTTCGGAGACATTAAGAGGCGCTGTACATTTTGTTTGGCAGTTGTCTTGCAGTTCAATACTGCTAAATAATGAAGTGCCTACTGTTAGCATTTATAGGTACTGCCCTTCCTAAAACATCTGCAGTAACAACTAGCATTTGAACTTGTGCTACAATAAGAAAGTTTTCTACAGAGCTGACTAGGCACAGTAGCATGATAAATAACATTAATTAGATTCCTAGATGATTCGTATTATGGTTTGGGAATAATAAAAGATTTCTACTGGTGCTGATCCAACAAACAAGCAAGTATATCCATTTAGTCTCTTAATATACTTTAAGATATGACCTTACAGCATAGCTTCTAGCCTAAATACCAATCATAAAATCCTAATCCCAGCTCTGCCACATCCATTTGTGCACCCCTATGCACTTCCTCAGACTTCAGATTTACAGTTTATAATTGGGACTAATTTCTTTTACCCACCTAAAAATAGTGTGGATCATTCTTTCATGTCAGGAGAGCTACGGTACTACATCAGTAGTCCTGAACATAAGACTGAAGGTGGTCAAACACTGACAGCTTTGTCCAGGGAAGCTGTGGAGTCTCCATTCACAAGAAACTCAAACACTGACTGGATGCAGTCCTGGACAAGCTACTCTAGCTGACCCTGCTGGAGAAAGCAGTTGAATTAGATGATCTCAAGATGTTCCTTCCAACCTAAACAATTCTCCGATCATTTCTGTATTAGAAAATACTTGGGTTTGGTCTGGGGCTTTTTTGGGTTGGTTTTTTTTTCTTTGTTTTGTTGTTGGTTTGTTTTTGTTTTTTTCTGTGGGGGTGGTTGTTGTTGGGGGTTTTTTTAATAATTTCTGGAGAAACTCAACACAAACCAATCTATTTTCTACTCCAAAACTCTGCCATTTCATCTTGTCATGGAACAGATGTCTCCTTCCAAAGTCCTATGAAAACAGTAGATTCTTTCCCCTGTTACTTAAGAATACACTCATGTTGTGTGCGTTATAGTAAGTATAATGAGCTAGAATAGAAAGCAGTCCCAGAAAGAAAATCACTAAAAGAAAGTTTCTAGCTAGAGCTTTCTCTCTCCCTCCCCTCAAGGAACTAGTTTCAACAATAAAAAAAGAAATATATTAGTAGAAAGGAAGTGTAAGTCATTTGTAGGTAAAATGAATCCCCTTTCTACAATTCAATACCATTGTCAGTATTACTGTTGCCTTCTTCATCTGACACTGGGGAGAGAGAAAATCTTACAGGAAAAAAACAAAAAAGATCACCTGATTCACATACACCAGAAAGGTAAGCATTTGAAATGGAAAAACAAGGAGCGGTAGGTGTAAGAGCGAGATAAAAAGAGTGTATATACATGCCATGTACACCCCCACCCCCCCATTAGATTGGATGCTACTTGACAAGAAAGTTTCTTCAGAGGCATATGATCCCCATAGAAGTGGAAGCAATGAAAGTAAAACTGATTCCATACTAGACTTGATTGCTTTTTGAAGGGAGCACGCAACGCGGCTGGTTATCCTAGGGATACGCTAGACTCATTGAATCAGATCTTTTTCAGTCTTATTTCCTAGATATCTAACTACTGTCACTTCAGGTCTAAAGAAGGAAACAAAGCTGCTGCAGCTCTATGTATGGATATTTCTCTAAATTAAGGAAAGAAAGGAAAATCATGCTTGTACCACCTACAGTTCTTTGTCTTAATTCTACAGTTATGGCTTGTAATTACTAAGCTAAAAAGCTGAAAGAGAAAAAAAAAAAAAACCAAACAGGAAAAAAATACTTTCAAATGAGCAAGTTTTTTATTTGCTGTTCCATGGGATTTGGCTATTTAAAAAGTAAGTGGACAAAGATGAAAGCAGAGGTAGGTGACATTATAGGGCAGCAACTGAAAATAGGTGAGTATAAAACTCAATACACTTATCTTGAGTTTTTACTTTTAATAGAGGAAGGAACAACTGCATGAAAACACTTCCGTTCGAGTTCTTCCTCTTTCAAACTCTAGACACTAAAACAAACGCTCATAGATTGTGCTGAGTAATTCTTTGAAGTCTTTGATGGGACTTACAGGAATCTTCCATTTTATCATAGAATCATAGAATGTTTAGGGTTGGAAGGGACCACTAGTGGTCATCTAGTCCAACCCCCCTGCAGTGAGCAGGGACACCGCTAACTAGATCAGGTTGCTCAGAGCCCCATCCAACCTGGCCTTGAATGTTTCCAGGGAGGGGGCCTCCACTACCTCTCTGGGCAACCTGTTCCAGTGTTTTACCACCCTCATTGTAAAAAATTTCTTCCTTACCTCTAGCCTGAACCTACCCTGTTCTAGTTTAAAACCATTTCCCCTTGTCCTAACACAGCTGGCCCTATGAAAAAGACGTTCCCCATCTTTCCTATAGGCCCCCTTTAGGTACTGGAAGGCCGCAATCAGGTCTCCCCGTAGCCTCCTTTTCTCCAGACTGAACAAGCCCAACTCTCTCAGCCTGTCCTCATAGGAGAGGTGCTCCAGCCCTTGGATCATTTTTGTAGCCCTCCTCTGGACCCGTTCCAACAGTTCCATGTCCTTCTTGTGCTGAGGGCTCCAGAGCTGGACGCAGTACTCCAGGTGAGGTCTCACCAGAGCTGAGTAGAGGGGCAGAATCACCTCCCTCGACCTGCTAAACACATATACTACTTAAGAACACTTTAAAAATTGTTTTTTTAAATATTGAAGCTTTCAGCTCTGTAGGCAAAATTTCAAAACTGCTGAAGTTTTCAACATAGCCCACATGAACCTCACATGGTCAGTGATTCTACATTTAGCGAACCCCGCAGTTGATAAAATGAATCTAACAATTCTTATATTGATTATGATTTTTTCCTAATGGACTGAAATGCAGGCAACATATCTCCCAAGATACTGGAGAAATAAAGTACAATGAGAAGGGTACTGTTCTTACCACATACAGCTGTTTCCAGAGCACAGCCCATTCCTGCAGTGTTGCTGTGACTTCAGTCACAACAGAATCTTCAAGCGGAACAACTGTTTCATATTGCCTATACAAGAAGAGGGGAAAAAATTAGGAAAGGTACCCTGGAAATGGTAGAGAAAGAAATAAATGTCAGCATAGTAATTCATAAAATGCTGGAACTTGAATTTGTTTTCATTTGTTCAACATAAAGGAAAATATCTTAAAAGCAACATTTTGTCTATTGTAGCACTGAAGCAACTCAAGAGTTGTATCAACTGTTCTTCCACTGTGTTCCATAAGAATGAGCTTATGTGATGCATTTCCTAGTTACCTGTTAAAAATATATAATTTCATTCTACACAAGGTCAATGAAAACAGTTTTCATTATTATAGTGTGTTAAATTAACTTACCTGTAAAGGGTGGTTCTTCACAGTTTGTGTCCCTTCTCTCTAACCAGTCCAACTCTTTTTCCCCTCCAATTAATGTTAGCCAATGTCATTAACTACCCAAAAGACCTTCCATGTATTACTCTGTCCTATCCAGAAGACTTTTTCAATACTGGATATGAAACCTGAGTGAGCTATCCTCTAATCAAAAGAACAGGACTGGTCCCTTTGTGGTCAAAATCCTCCATACCCATTAAAGGAGAATCATAGAATGGTTTGGGTTGGCAAGGACCTTTAAAGGTCATCGAGTCCAACCCCCCTGCCATGAGCAGGGACATCTTCAACCAGATCAGGTTGCTCAGAGCCTGTCCAACCTGACCTCAAATGTTTCCAGGGATGGGGCATTTACAGCCTCTTTGGGCAACCTTGTCCAGTATTTCACCACCTTCATTGTAAAACATTTCTTCCTTATATCTAGTCTGAATCTACCCTCTTTTTGTTTAAAACCATTGCCCCTCATCCCATGGATGGCAGCAGGCCCTGCTAAAATGTGTGTCCCCATCTTTCCTATAGGCTCCCTTTAAGTACTGCAAAACCGCAATCAGGTCTCCCTGGAGCCTTCTCTTCTCCAGGATGAACAGCCCCAACTCTCTCAGCCCTTCCTCATAGGAGAGGGCTCCAGTCCTCGGATCATTTTTTTGTAATTTTTGTGGCTCCCTCTGGACCCCCTCCAACAGGTCCACGTCAGCTCTTTCATCACACTGAAATGCAAAAATGTGATAACCAATGTATGCATTGTAATGTCATTATATTATCTGAGCCATTAGTGCCTTGACTTGCCCTTTATGTTGAATGCTATTATGGAAACAAGTGTCAGATTGTAAAAATAAAGTCTATTTCAAGCTTCTGCTATTTCAGCAATTTTTAAAAAAAGAGGTTGAATTAAAAAAAACAAAACCAAAGCAACATGTTCCTGAAACACACCCTCTGTTGGAACAATTTTGCATAGGTCCTAAAGTAGCAGTACTGAAAAACACTGGCTCAACTGGTGATTTGGGACAAGTTGTGCCAAGCGAGAGACAGCCTCTGAAGCACATCCAACAACCATGAAGGACACCGATCCCTCCCTCTTCAGCAGTACAACCATGCTCACGGCTATTTTGAAATCCTCCTGAAGGGAAGCTACAAACTCCCCATTCCATAACCAGTTTAGGCTATTTCTTCTGTCCTTTGTGCAGACATAAATGAGTACTAATAAGTAAATATGTAAACAATGAGATTAATTCATTCCAAAAAGTTTGGAGGTCTTTTTTGGTTTGTTTGTTTTTAAAAGAGAACACGGTTAGTCATTAAAAAAAAAAGTCCATGGCAATGTTGCCCTTTTGAGAATTCTTGCTATTAATAATTGTGCCACATTAGCTGAAGCCAAAAGTAACAAGCAATGGGGGAAGTGGATGATAAAGTTAAGTCACTGTTTGTCTCTCTGTATTCTTGGAGCAGAAAACTTATCAAACAAAAGCTTCAATTCTTCATTTCCAAGCTACCAAAATCTCATATTCACATCATTGACATAAGTAAATCTTATATAAAAGATCCAAAATAAATACATATATATTAGAAACATCACTATCTAAAAACCTAACATAGTCATATCAGGTATGCATTCAACCCACTAAAACTGGGACTGGAAAGCATCAATTCACACACACACCAGGAGACTAAGACAGATCACAATTTTTTTTCTATTATTATGCCATGACCTTATCATTCCCACATTTGTTGTGAGAAACTAAAACACTGACAGACACTTGGCATCTGGGACTGTCATTCTACTCCTGCAATGTTTCGGTTTGGTTTGGTTGTTTTTTAGTGGTTTCCCCCCCGCTCCCAAATTTGGCCACAGAAAGACTAGGAAATCTTAATTCATGCTTTAACAAATTCTCCAAAGAGCATGCTTGTGATCTGAAAGATGACACTAGGAGTACGATGAAAATCCCAACACCTATTATTTAGCTCATATTCAAAGATTGTTTCGATGGTTAAACAGAAATTCTGCATTTAGTATGCATCATCAAAAGTTTGCTTGACACTAACAACATTAAAAATGATGTCACAACGACTTCCAGCTGAAAGTCTTTTCAGATCTCTGTAAAACACCATTACAGGGAAGGGATTCAAAATAGCTCAACATCCCCTTAAGGAACCATAGAAAAGGATGAAAGGAATCACACAATACACTTTAGCTAATTAGTGGGGCATGTGTGTGTGTTTATATCAAAACCAAAGAAAAATATTCTTCCAAAGATTATTTTTTGAAATGGATTTACAAACTTTTGGCATCAGTGAAAAATAAAACATTTTGGAAGATCAGCCTTCAACAGTATGGCTAGATTTAAAGAGAATGCACATCAGGACTACATTTAACCATGTAAATACAATGTTTTGCATTCCTACAGCCCTGTACTTCCTCCATTATACCCACATATTAATGACATTACTTTGGGTCTATGATTCATAAGAACATTATATACCATGCTCTATTATTTCACAAGGCCTTATCTTGGCACTTTGAGTATATTCTTAAATACAGGGGCAGAATTTCTTTTACCAAAACATGAAATAACCATGGTCTCTGGTTCAGAATTGTATTATGTTCTGTTGTATCAGCTGGTATTCCATTTTTTAAAAGTACATCAGCTTTCCTAGTAAGTATCTAAATATCCTGAACTGGTTGCCCTTTACAAATTCTGAAGTAACATCAAGTAGTAATTGACTACAAATTACAGGAAACTGGTCTTCCCCCTAAGGAGAGCACGTCTCAGGAGTAGTCACTCTATGCAATATATATATAATTTTATTACACCCCAAAGTTAGGAAGCATCAGTACTACAGCTGCCCTTACAATCTTTACTCAGTCCCTTTGAGAATAAACATACAATTCAAGACTATCAGAAGCCACATATTTTTCTACAGGTACTTCACTAAATTTCATTTAATACCTTTTATCTTCCACATTTAATTTGTTGCCTTGGGTCACTGTCTGAAATGCTGCACTTATAAATCTCCCCACAGTGGCCTTAAATCTAGAAAATGCAGGGAAGAGCAGCAGTGAAGACACAAGATACTGATTTCAGTGGTCTCAGTCAATCTCACACAAAATTTGGCAGGTTACTGAGCCTATACACAATAAAATCTCTGACGTTATGTTGCCGTCAGTATTGCTATTCACATTAAATAAATTAAACCTACCTCTAGCAACATATGAGCTACATAGAAAGACAGTGAAGGTAAAATATTCTCAGCGGTGTACTTCAGTCATTCTTTGGCTTGGAGTGTGGAGGGTTGAATCCTTTTGAAAAGTTTCACAGTGACATAGCTATCTTGTCAGCTATGTCTCAGTGAAAATCTGTTGATAAACAAGAGGGACTGTCTACATGACAGTGCTTCCGTAACAAGCAGGAACATACAGAATTTTGCCAGTGAGGAACAAGCAGAAATGAAAAATATAAATAGAGTTCTTCAAAATGTGTATGTTTCAGATGATACCTCTGGAGTTACAATTTTATGAGCAAAAGTGAACAGGAGTAACCAACAGAATTGATTCTTGCTATATTAAAAAACAAAAAAACCCCAAAGCTCTGCAGAATTACATTTAATTTTCAAACCCTAATACACAACAAAAGAAACAATGAACTAAACCCACTCTATAGATTTTAATAACTATTTCTTAGGTTCCCTTCTAGATGAGAAACACTGCAGCTTCTTAAAGAGAAGGAAAATACTCACCCCCTGTTACTGACGATTGCCTTTTTCAAGTGAATATAGTTTGCAGGAAAAATCCCCTGCAAGAGAAAAAGTCTGTAGGCTAAAAAAATACACTTGCAGTTTTAAGCATTTATATCCTAAGCCACAATAAATAATTGCCAATATACCTACTAAAAAAAAAAAAAACAAAAAAAAAACAAACCCCAAAACCCTAACACTGTGTCAAAGAAGCTACCATAGTCAAAAGTCAACATTCAAATTAATCACAACTGATCATTTTAATTCATCTTAGAACAGGACAGCACACTGAATCAAACCTCCATCTTGATAGATCCATTTCTTAATGGGGAAGTTTTGCAAGTCTATTCAATAAAAATGTACAAAGATGCAAGCTGAGTATTTTTCATTCCCAAAAGCTCCTGAAGTGTTCAGAAATACTGTTGTTTGGGAAATAATGCTCTGCTATAAAAACAATGGGTAAGTAATAGGAAAAGGCATCACTCTAATCCTACACAACTGCTTTGGAAGGGACAAGACTGATTTAAAAAAAAATAAAAAATTTAAGTTTGGTCAATTGTCTTCCTACTGCAAAGACTGTGTGAGCCAAATAATCCACTAAGAGGCGATGAGCAAGTAGGGAAAAGGTGCGACAAGTAGGAAGACTTCAGAGAAGAGCTTGCAGTTAGCAGAAAGGAATGAGTAGCAGAAGGAACTACCATCAGCATTTACTGGAGAGACGTAAGCTAGCCAGGGCAGCCAGAAAAGCTGATATCATGTAGTCTGCAGCACAGCATCCATATGCTTCCAGAATAGGCCTCTGCATTGGTATGCTACATTATATTTGATGACAAGGACATAAGCTTTAAAAAAAACAAATCAAAAAGCCCACCATCAAATTTGTGCCTTGCCCCCATACCAGTCTTTCACTAAGGAAAGAAGTATTCTGGTACTTGCATACCCTGGAGCTATCCTTTTTCCTCCCTCTTTCCAACAAAGAGCTGTTTAAACCCACTTGGGATAGCTCTAGTTATTTGCCTTTTGCCTCTCCCGTGATGGCTGGATTCTAACCTTGCCTGCGCCATTGTGTTCTTGGGTGATGAGACATGGGGAAAAAGAGGTAATTTAAACCAAACTTTTCATAGCGTTCCGTTATCTCTGTGAAACACACAGCCCTGAATCCTCAGAGCAAACTCAGGCAGCGTGTAAGAAGGGTAAGCCTGCACTTCAGTGGGGAATACAGGATCAGCATTGGTAATCTTCAGGTTAAAAACCAGCTGACAGCCTCTGACAAAAATGTCAGTAATCAAGCGTGGGCTTTAAATTTTTAGAGCTTTAAAATAGTACAATTTAGGAAGAAAAAAATTCATGGGGGTGTTGAAAGGAATACTAAGTAAAGATGATTCAAAATGCCAAGAAAAATTCCTTTTTTTTTTTCATAGGCAAGACTGAAATTGCAGAAGGAAGGAAGATGAATCTAACAGGAATGGCTTCATCAGGAAAAAAAAAAAAGTAAATGCATGTGCTTTCAGCCACATGTAAATTTGGGAAAGGAAGAAATGCTACTTCAGTTTCTAGTTTGGTTCGCTTCCAAGTAATGCTGTTTATTTCTGTGATCCTGTGCTGGTTACCTAAGAAACCAAGGAAGGTTAGAAGGGCTATCCTATCAAAACCAAACATATATGCAAGCAGAAGATGTACCAACACACACACAATGAATGCTTTTCCATTAAAAAAGCACTGCAGTCATGAAAACATAACACAGGTAATACAACATTCCATAATACAGGTAAACATGAGGAATCTGGTACTCTTTTTTTTAAATAGAAGCTGTATTAACCCAAAAGACAACAAAGTGATGCTTTACATAAAAGCAACTATTTACATATTTGGATATGCACAATTACAAAAATATACACGTGCTCGCAAAAAATCCGTATCAGAACAGTCAAAAAAGTTCTACAAGAGCAAACATGGATATGGCTGGAAAATAATCAAGTGCAGTGGTTAAAGTGTAAAAATCTGAAAAAATAACAAACTTACAACATCCTTTTTCATCAGACTTTTTTGAAAGTTGTCTTAGATTAATAATGCAAATTATTAAATGCGTTCTTTAAAAATCCCGCATTAAGCAATGCAAGATCACCCATCTATGCTTTTCTTAGGGCAGTACGGTGGAGAAGATCAAATTGGATGAGATCTATAAACATTGGGAAGATTACATGCTACAACGTCAGGAAGGTTTCTGATCCTTTGGGTGACTCATGAGTATCATTCTCTCAATTTAGAGACTAAATCCAATCCTTCCACAGGAAAAAAAGTTAGAGAAGTAAAATCCTAAGAGTGAGGAAAACAAAAAGTTTAGTGGGTTGCAACAACAGAAAAGATATCATCCCCCACTAGATTAAAAAAATATAGTCACACTTACCTTTACATTGGGCTTCTTAATGGAAACACCTCTGTACCAGCCTAAAACCAGATAAAACACACTATATTAATCTGTGGCATTGCTTACTTTACACAGAAGCAAACTGACTGAAAATTATGCAGTTACTGAGGTCATCTCAAAAACCATCTGTGCCTCACGTAAGTAATTTTTTTCAAGGTTGTTTTTTTGGTTTGGTTTTTTTTTTTTGTTGCTGGGTGGGGGTTGGGGTGTTTTTTTTTTTTTTTTTTTTTTTTTTTTTTTTGCTCTGCAATGATGACAAGCAATTAAGAACCTGGAATGCTCCTGTTTATTCCCTCTAGGAATAAAAGCAGTTTAGCGTACTTAGTCACTGTACTCACAATCATTAGCCACTGTGGCAAAGATGCATTCAGCGAGATTCTCATGCGAGAATCTGTACTGAACACTTTTCTTACATGAGTCTCTTCACAGTGTTTATCTTAACAAAATCTCCAGATTTCAAAACCTAGCCTTTTAAAGACAGGAAAAGCCATTATCATACATTTCTAATATTGTTTAAACAAATACAAATCCTTTGCATGTGTCTGGTCTTATGTTGTCTGAGAGACTAGAGAACAGACTTCAGGATCTAATTTCACAAACCCAATTATTATTCTTGTATCCCCCATCAGTTAACAGCCCCAGGCAGGACAAAAATTCAGGACGAAAAGTCAAAGCTGCAAAAGCTACAAGTTAAACAGAAGAACCCGATTACTCAGATTTTACACAGGTGAAAGTAATGTCACTCCAGGCAAGATTCATCATGAAAAAGTGCTGAAACACTATCCAGGAGCACACTTCAGTTGTCATGGTAGATGAGCTGCTCTTCCACTCCATAAGACACACAAAACTACCATGAATCATTAAAAATATGCTGCTCTCTTGTATCTGGGTCTAATGCTTCAGCCCCAGAACACGAAGCTAAACTTTAAGACCTGAGCCTGGAACACCCTGCGGGAGCACAGGCAGTGGGGAGCACCAGGGTGCGGGTTCTGGGGAGGAAGCTTGGCCATCCCTGGGCATCAGAAACACATGGGCAAAGCCGGCCAGGCCCAGCTGCTGCACAAGCAGTGAGTTCCCCTGCTGGCGTATTATTCCATCTACAGCAGCCCAGTACTCAAATAGGCAGCCACCCAAATTTGCCAAAACCCAACATATTTCACATAATCTAAATCCACTTTCCATAAAGATTCTCTGATTTTTTCCAGCAACTTCCTACTTTTAATTCCCCCCCCCCAGAGGACAGATATAATTTAGTATCTGCAGCATTTAGAAGCGCATTAGGAAAACCTGTCAGCAATTTGCTATGGAGAATAGAGAAGAACAGAACAAAGTAACTGTGTATTTTGTCTCTCTCAGAAAAAGGACTTCGTATTTGCCTGAATTATGGCACAAGTCTCATTTAGAGGCTCCAAAGTGAGGAAGAAGGCCTTGATTTTGTTTTAAAGACAGCCTGCTAATCTAAATTATTTTTTTAAGGAAATCTGAGTCTATACAAAAGAAAATAATTGATGAATTACTTCTAATTGAATTGATGAATAATTTCTATATAAAAGAAAATAATTTATTAATTCAAGACATCTGCAAATCTTAGTATGGAAAAATTAAAACCCATCTTCTTTATCACACAAATTTCTCATGAAGATAGGATGTAACACAAAGATTGTTTCCCATGAAATTATTGCTTGTATTAAAAAATAAAATGCTATTTTCAATTTATTTCTTAATTGATCAAACTTTATGGCAATCATATCAATCGAAACACGTATGCACAAATAACATACAGATCCTTACGATGACTAATTTCTAAAACCCCGCACAACTGTGCCTGCAACACCTGCTTTTGAGTAACAGATGCTACGTATTTTTAAGGTCACAGAAAAAAAAAATTACGCATTTATCCTGTGATTCATTGTTACCAATATTAAATACAGCATGCTGCTGATTTTTATATTCATAGAATCTGTACCTTAGAAATAAACATTCATTTTAAGATAAACAGAATGGGAAACTTCTCAGTAAATATGGAAGAAAGTGGGTTTATCTACGTTTGTGAATAGAACTGTAAAAATGAGAACAAAATCTGACAAAGCAGGTGTCTATTAATGACTTAGGTGTGCAGGGTAGAGGATGGAATGCATTTCCAAAAAACGACGTTATTTCTGAGTTTCCTGTCTTAATCCCAAAATAAATCTTCAAAGCTTATAAGGTGTGTGTTTACAGAGCTGTAAAAAACATGAATGGAAGGATCCCTGAGAAATCATCTTGCTCATCCAAGAGATGCCTCTAAACTTCTCCTCGCAGATGTTTAGCCTGTTTTTAACAGTGCCCAAGAATTTATCATCAGGACTGAACAACACAGCACTCCTTTCCTGTGAAAAATGATCCATACGACTTCTACAAAACCTAAATTCCAAGATACTTCTGCGCAGTATTCCAAGGAAACAGAGTAAATTTCTGCTACTCCACACAGACTGGTTTGAAAGTGGTGCTGTTTCACAGGCATCTTTGTAGAAGAAATTTCTCCCACTGATCAACATCGGCCAAGAAAACTGCATCTAACAGTAACATTTTGGTATAGCACTTGAGAAGCTAGAATGTTTATGCCAAGTGGAAGATGGCAAATCCTCATTGACCAACCTATTTCAGTGGCTCAGACAACGTATGTGCACTTTAAAACCTGAACAGTCCTTGCTGCTAATTTTGTCTTTCGGAGAATATGGAAAACATTTTGTTGACCTCCCTCCCTTTTGTAGGTACCTTCATATATTTGAAAAGTGGTCCCTTTAATCTTGTAGATTGTGCTCTCTAGATCTGTCTTCCTTTCTTTTCTCTTTTCTTTTTCATTGCGGCATAGTAGTTTTAGAATCACCTTTCTCTGTTTAAGTTTCCTCCAACTCCATGCAAGCAAGATACAGTAGAACGAGCTCACCAGAACCTGGAAGCACTGAATCGTAATTCCTTATTTGCTTACAATGAACATCACCAAAACCTCATTCTGTATCTCAAAGTAAAAGCTATGAGAAGAGGTACAATGCTTTTGTTAAAAAACACATTTAGAAAATTGCATCTGCATTATTCACTAAAATGAACTACAGCTTTATTCTGGAATTAGTCTTAAATAGATTAATACTGATCTAATCATACATTTTAAAGAACATTTATTTTGGAAGATTTAATCACCATAGTCATCAAATCCAGGCAGGTGCTTCAGCTAATTGTATCACAACATGCACCACATGGTTAGACCTCAATATTGACTAATGTTTTTAGATGTTACTGTACTACAAATAATTAATTGTTAATACTTTAGAATTATGGCATTCATTTTCTAGTGATACACAGCCTTTACAGGGCTTCAAGGAAATGCTAAAAAAGATGACATTTACAATTAAGAAACAGAAAAATGTGGCTATGAAGTGACAAGAATTTTGTCAATAAGTTAATGAAAAAAACCAATCATGAGTATCATAGAATCATGGAATCACTTTGGTTGGAAAAGACCTTTGAGATCATCGAGTCCAACCTTTAACCTAACCCTGACATCCCACCACTAAACCATGTCCCTAAGCACCTCACCTATCCTTCCATTAAATACCTCCAGGGATGAGGACTCTACCACCTCTCTGGGCAGCCCATTCCAGAGCCTGAAATCCACAATTTGAACAGATTAACTGTCTAGTAATGACCAGTAACTAATAAGAATTTGAAGACAGATGAGGGCAAGGCATAAGACCAGAGCCAGAATACCCACAAATCTCTACAGAGAAAGACTGTGCTTCATGCACACAATCCCTCCCCCCCCTTCCCTTTTCTGACAGCTAAGAATATTCTCAAGCTGCTGGACCTAGTGGATGACCCAGGGAAAGGGATAGGTAATTCTAACTGGTTTTCAAAAAATGAATCACTGTACTGGGGCCAGCTGGGATGTGGTTAACTTTCTCCACAGCAGCCTGTTTGGTCCTGTGTTTCGGATTTGGGGCCAAAACAGTGCTGACACAAGATGGACATTTTGCCTATTGCTGAACAGGCCTTGTACAACATCAAGGCTTTCTCTTTTTCCCCAGTGTGCCGCCCCCAGCGAGTAGGCTAGGGGTAGGCAAGAAGCTGGGAGGGGCAGAGCTGGGACAGCTGACCTAAATCAGCCAAAGGGATATTCCGTACCATAGAACATAATCTGCTACAAGAAAACCAAAAAATCGTCTATTAGAAGCACCATTTAAAGCCATATCCTATTCAGGATAGGAAGGAGAACACTAAATATATTATAAAGTCTGATGAATTTCAAGTGTATATCATAGTCAAAATAAAGTAGACAAAATGACAAAGACATCCTCGAATGGGTAAAAATACCTTCAATGATACAGATGATACTGCAAGCAAACTTTTTTTTTTTTTCTTGGATCACACAAAAAGACAGGCACAGGACGAGCCTACTGCTTATACCACAGCCCAGTAACAACTGAAGAAAAGACTGTTACATCTGAACATCTGCGAGAAGCTGGGGATGAATGCAGTCATTTGGACTGCATCTCAATGTTGCATTTATCTGTATTTCTGTGTAAGTGTTATGACAAATACTTGATAAATTTTGATAAACAGAGGTACAAAGCTTTTTGGGGTTTTGTTTGTTTTAAAGAAACTGATACCATGATAGACATAATGCCTCAGTAAAACAGAAACTGTCAGTGCAGGAATTACATGCACTTTCTTAATCTAACTGACCATGCTTTACCTTCTCAGTATGCCCAAGACAAAGGCTAAACCCAAGTACTGTAAGAAAACTGAATGCATCTTATCCATGCCAGTGTGTTCTGGACAAGTCACTGTATCTTATAGCCCTATTCCAACTTTGTTTTTACATGGACTGTACTGCAAAGTGTAGTAGGCAAACCAAGCAGACTACCTAAAGCAATACAGCCACGCTGCACCATGATCCGTGCCAGCTAAACCTACCACAGAGTCTAAACATTATGTTTGTAAGGTGAAACATAAACCCCAGGAAAACACACAACTCTTTACA